ACCCCAGAGTTTATGGGATGATTGTGCCATATGTGCTGAGTACACAATGACATAAGACTGACCGGGCTTGAGTTCACCTTCCTGCCATCAACAGATCTTTCCGTGCTGCATTACTGCTGTTTCTTTTTCTTTCTCATTGAGAAAACACCCTTTTCTATGTACTACGTGTCCAATTTAATGAAACAGTAGAAGACAGGAAAGACTGCTGATTGATAGTGTTGAATAATCTTAATGATAGAGTTCTGGTACCAACCGACAGCCATATGTATTTATTTATTTTTTAAAAAGCTGGATATTTGGAGTCTGTTGTTCCCAGGGACTGAAACCTTGCCCATGGAATCAGTGGAGATTTGTTGAGTCAAATGCTCTGTGAGCTCCATTGATTCAGTGGGCCTGCTCTCCTGGTGACCTGCTATGTGAAACAACAGGATTTCAGCCAATATAAACTACTAAGGCTTTTCTTGAAAGTGTTTTCTTGAGATCACACCCACAGAAGGATTCTAATGTCTTGAATTCTGATAAGGACTGACCACAGGCCTTGGAGTTACCAGTGGATTAAGAGATACAGCAGGACCCCGTATCCATGTGGTATCGATTCCAAGCACCCCATGGATGTTGAAAAAGACAGAATATAGCAAACACTATTTTAAAAGCAATCACTAGATATAGCATGCTCAGTCTTCGAACCTTTGGCTCTCTAGATGTCCTGCGCCCCAACTTCAACAATCTCTGGCTACGGACCATATCTGATGGGGGAATGGATGGAAGGGTGAAGATCAAAAACAAAGTTTTGTCTCAACTTGGTCAGGAAGACACAACAGTTCCTAGGACATTTTGGTGGCCCTTTGGGGGATTTCTCCATACCTGTGATGCCCTATCTGAGACAGGCTTAACCAAAACAGAAGACAGTATTCTAAATGTAGCTGCTGATTCACAGAAAGTTGTGGCCATTGCATTTTGCTGCCTTCTCGTCTCAAAATTGTAGGCAAACTTCACAGAGTTCTGCAAACCCAAGCATTCTACGGTGTAGTCGTTTGGTTCTTACTAGTCCTACAATGTAGAATCCATGGCTTTGCCACCTTGCGACCTTCTATTTTCGGAATAATCCAGTTGAGGCCAACATCTTGACAGGACGGTGTGAAAGCTATGCCTGTGAACCTTAGTTTGGTTCAGAAAGGCTGTGCCAGACAGAATGACAGGCTTATACATATGTCCATTATTCAACCATCTATCAAGACTTCACTTAATTGGAACAAACTGTACTTCTAAAGGGTGGTTTCACTTCATGTTTCATTTTAGAAGCTAAAATCTGGGATGCCAAAAGCTTTATCAAGTCCAGCAGGGTGTTTTCTCCTTATGTCAATCTTCACTGATTCCAGACTCATTGTCGTCTCCACTTCCTTGATGAGTTGGTACTTGAAAGACCTATAAAAGGCCCGTTCTTTCCATCTTCAGTGAACGCTTCTCCTTTCTTTCTCAGCAAACCTGGCTTGGTGTGTTGTGGGGTAAGTTGACTCTTTGTTATATTTTTCTCTTTGTTCCAAGAACGTCTCACTGCCTGCTTCTTGGTGAACGACTGCGAGTCAGTGATTTTTCAGAAAAGTAGCTATCTTTGGTTCGGCATGGGTCACAAAACTGGGGAAAGAAATGGCTATGATCCATTCAAGGTTAACTGGATTATTTCAGTGTAAACTCCTGTGAATTACAATCCATTTCTTCAGACACATGGGGTACCATCACAGGTTTAAGTCCATATTTCCTGTTATTTTGCCGATGTGTATTATTTTAAATTGAGTTAGGTAGTTCCTTCAATTCTCTTTGCCTGATATCTTTTGATGTTGTGAATGACTTAGCTTTGTGAATTGGGGCTTGTCCTTTAAAAACTTAACTTGTATACCACAAAAGCAGAAGTATCTAGAGGACGAGAAGGTCCACAATTCTCAATTCTTTGTCTTATGCTTGCTTTGTGTCAAGGATGGGCAGATGTGCACTGATAAAAACGTGCCGTAGAAAAGCAATCTTGCTGTAAAATGCATGTATTGTATCAGAGCAATGCTTTGGAACCTTTGGTCCCCAGATCTTCTTGGACTACAACTCCCAGAAGCCTTTACCACAAGCTATGTTGGCCAAGATTTCTGGGATCTATTGTCCAAGAATGTCTGAAGACTCAAGGTTGGGAACCATTGTGTTTTCTCCCAATATTGAATTTGATAGACAGTTCTTCTGTGAAGAACATGCTTCTTCATGTGTGCTTCTGGGAATGGTGACCTCATTCTTAATTTCTTCTCAGGTGTCCCCGGAGGAGAAGAGCATGTCTCACCAGCAGCAACGCAAAGAAACTCCATCCTGCCCACCAACCTCCTGTGTACCTTCTTCTGAATGCATGAAGCCATGTCCGCCTCCCGTGCGCCAAGGATCAGATGATATTTCATGGTGCGGGTCAACCGAAAAGCCCTGCCAAGGCTCAACGGAAAGCTCAGGGCAATGTCCGTCGGACAACAGCGGCGACTTCCAGCATTATCATCATCAACATCATCATTCTCCCCAAGAGCCCAAGCAATGCTAAGCCCTCCTTGACACGGTCAACCATCCAAAGAGGAAAACACATTGATAATATTAATAAATCCTTCCTGAAAAGTAATTTTTTAAAATCTGTATGTCTTCTTTCTTGAGTTGTTCTTTCCATTCGCTTCAGATCGAGATTCTTTATAATAGATGAATTTCCTTGGAGCTGGGCCAAGGGGAAAAAAAACAAGCCAAGGGACCATAGTGGACTACCTCATCCCAATTGAGCAAAACTATGATGAGAAGGTCATTTCGGTTTTTTTAAAAAACTTGAGTTAGTTTCAGATTGCTAGTTCCAAACAGAGTTGCTCTATTAACTCAGTGGTATCTACGTAAGTGTTCACTCCCATTCGAACATGGACTCAATGGGCCTATTTATTGAGAGTGGCGATAAGCCCTAAGGAGCTTCGCGATTGTAATCTTTTTTCTAAAATAAAGTGTGTGCTCATTTTAGAGGAGAAATACACCTCTGAAAGGCCGAAATCCTGTTGCATTTTTATGCTGGCATAATAGGGGGAACACCCCCCATCTTATTGGTGAATTGTAGCAAGATCAGAAGTTTATCAGGTTTGGCAGGTTGGCTGCCTTTCACCATGCGAGACCTGAGGACCAACATCTAAGAACCAGGGGGCGGGACCTTATGATGTCACAGAAGCAGGGCAGGCAAAGGTTGGGAGCAGGTTGAGAATGGGTTGTCACTCAACTGATTCCAGAAACAGGTAAATGGTGCTGATTTCTTTGACTCGGACCGGCCGGATAGCTTAGTGGTTTAGGTATCTGGCTGTGGACCCTGAGGTTGGGAGTTCAATTCCCCACTCTGTCTCCTTTGAGTAGTCAGCCTGTGTGGCCTGGGGCAAGCTGCACAAGCGTAGGAGGCCCGCAGGAGAAGGAAATAGTCTGAGTGATCTTGACTTAGGAAGCCCAGAAAAAAGTAACCAGAGGTCAGAATTGACTTGATAGTACATTGTTATTATTATTTCTCTGACTTGCCACAGATGGTATGTTGGCTCCACATCCATGCCCCCAAGTGTTCCCTCTCTGCTCACCTCTCCTCCCTTCTGGCTTTTAGTCATCCATTTTGCACAGACACAACAAACAACACCTTTGCAATGGGCTGGTGAGCCCAGATACTGGCCAAAAAATGGGTGGAAAGGTACACCCAGGCTTTGCAGTCCACTCCAGGGACCAACATGCCCAGATACCAAATGATTTCTCAGTGGGGTGGGAGAAAGTATACAGGGTCGGGTGAGGTCAGTTGGAGCCTTCCCCCAGGGACTCAGTGACAGAAGTTCGTAGGGGAGGTTTTGGCTTTTATTGAGTCTTCAGCTGTTGGTCTTCTTCTACTGACCCAACGTTACTGCTGTATACATCAGTAGCTTCTTCTATGCATCCCCTTTAAAATCTACGTTGTCAAAATTAAAGGAGAAAAAGAGGAGAGGGGAGCAGAGCAAAATAATGTAGCAATGTAAAATCTCTACTTTGACTTGAATTCCTGCCTTGAGCAGGAGGTTAGACTCAATGAACCCTGTGGGTTCCTTCCAAAACCATGATTCTATGCTGGCTTCACACAGCTGCCCACATATGTATGTGAACGTGCATGGTTTTGCTTTCTAAAAATTTATTCTTCGAGTTCTGGGTAGTACTTTAACCCCATCCGTTTCAAAAGAGAGCTTGGTGATCAGTACAATTAAGGAAATCCATGGGTCTGCCCTCATACAGAGGAGGGACAGGATCTGTTCTCGACCATCCCAGAGTGCAGGACACGCAACAATGGGCTCAAGTGACAGGAAGCTCGATTTTGGTTGAATATTGGGAAAAACTTCCTAACTGTTAGAGCGGTACAACAATGGAACCAGTTACTTTGAGAGGTGGTGAGTGCTCCAACGCTGGAAGCATTCAAGATAAATTAAGACAACCACCTAGCAGATATCCTTTGATTTGCATTCCTGCACTAAGCAGGGGGTTGGATTCAATGGCCTTATAGGGCTCTTCCAACTTCATTATTCTATGATTCTGTTGAGAGGTCTCTGTGGGATGCTCTGTTTTATGAACGGTGTGACCAACGACACAGCCATTAAGGGATGATAAACACAATTTTATTGTAGGAGAGAGAGAAAAGAAATGAAGGAATACATTGCATTTTTTTTCTCATGCCAACCGGTTCAACAACCCAACATGAAAGGACTTCTTAAATGAAAGTTGAACTGAAACCTGTTGATGGAGATTATTTATTAGCAGTTAATTATTATAATCCGCCTATGGACAAAGAGCTGCAAAACAGGAACAGAAGCTTCTTTAGAAAGAACATTTAAAGCAATACAAGGATGTGATTTGTTTACGGGTTGAAATCAACACAAGGATTTAAGATCTTGGGTAGCCGATTGGAAGAGTAGAAGGTATTGATCTCTTCTTCTGATGTTGCCCCCCCTGCTTGATTACTTGCTCTGGTGTGGCCAAGTGTATTGCTGCTTTCTCTGTTGCTGATCGCTGGGGGGTGGGCATTTCACTGCAGGCTGGGGGCATGGAACCGGAGCGGGCTCCTCGCATGGGGATTGTTTCCCTGGACATGGCGTTGGGATCACCACTACGGGCGGCTCCTTGCATGGAGACTGCACAGGAGGACATGGCGTTGGTTCTTCGCATGGGCATGGAGTTGGGATCACCACTTGTGGAGGCTCCTTGCATGGCTGCTTCTGCTGAGGGCAAGGAATTGGCTCCTGAGATGGGCATGGAGTCGGGACAACCACTACCGGTGGCTCCTTGCATGGAGACTGCACAGGAGAACATGGTTTTGGCTCTTGGCATGGAGTTGGGATCACTACTTGTGGAGGCTCCTTGCATGGCTGCTTCTGCTGAGGGCAAGGAATTGACTCCTGAGATGGGCATGGCGTTGGGACAACCACTATTGGTGGCTCCTTGCATGGAGACTGCACAGGAGAACATGGTTTTGGCTCTTGGCATGGCGTTGGGATCACTACTTGTGGAGGCTCCTTGCATGGCTGCTTCTGCTGAGGGCAAGGAACTGGCTCCTGGGGTGGGCATGGCGTTGGGACCACCACTATGGGTGGCTCTTTGCATGGCAGCTTCTTTTCAGGACATGGTGTTGGTTCCGGGCATGGACATGGCGTTGGGACAACCACCCCTGGTGCTTCCTTGCATGGAGCCTTCTCCTGAGGACATGGTGTCGGTCGTGGACACGGAGTCGGGATGACCACTACGGGTGGCTCCTTGCAGGGTTGCTCCACCGGAGGACACGGTGCTGGCTGTGGGCATATCACCGGAGGGCACGTAACCGCCTGCTTGCTTTGCTCCTGATGGCACTGCGGCACCTTCACTTCTGGTGGGCATGGTGATGGCTCCGGAACAGTTTTGCACAAAGCAGGGGGCAACGTGGGCGTCTGCTTGCACTGATGCTGGTTGAAAGAAGCCATTTCCAGAGACGCTCAAGGTAGCCTGTAAGTGGGAGAAAAGGGGTTCAGAGAAGGAATTCCACACCTAATTAACAACTGCTGTAAGACTTACACACAAATCAGCTTTCTTCCCTCCCCATGTACCTCTCTGCTGGCCCAGGAAAGTCCATGGACCTCTCAAGAGGTCCATGGAGCCCATTATGAACCGCAGTGTCTAGCAGTGCCTTTTTAGTGGTGATCCCAATTTCATAAGGAAAAGTAAACCAGGGGAAAAAGGTAACTGACAGATATATCACCAAAGAATGCCTACTAGACTTCCAGATTATACAATGGAATTGAGCTGTTGTAGACCCCAAGAGGGGCAAAAGAAAGCCTTCTTCTCATGATGGTCCTACGGAACTCATGACCACCAGATACGGTGACATCAGTGACATCCACTGGCTTTATTTATAAGAAAGGAGATGTAAGTCACAAAGAATTTCCAAAGAGGATGAAACTAGAAAATGGCAGTCCTATATTCCAGTCCTATACATCAACGACTACAAATCAGTTTAGACCTGAGGATAAACTTTGAATCCATGAAAGTTTCAGGGAACTACATTCTAGGAGTGGGTGGGGTCAAAGCCAAGAGGACAGACCCATAAATACCTGTAATATGTTAGCTCTAAGCTCTGACAGCTGGCAAATAAACCTTAAGAAACAACACAACCCCGTAGGGCATCGTAAAAGCCGGCACATTTCATTTCGACAAGATAGATGGCTTGAGCTGCAGTCCACAAATTCATACGCCCAGTCTTTTGGGTAGCACAAGATTCTTTGATGGTTTTCCTGCCGTGTCTAAGCTAGAGAAAGGCGTGTCACATTTTTAAAGTAAGGGAAACCTCTTAAAACACGCAGATGAATCCATCAAATACTGAGAAAGACCTCAGATGATGGTGATGGAGAAGGACCATATGGAATCGTACATTACCTGGGTGAGGTGCATGTCTACTGGGCTGATTCTGAGCTTGCAGTACCATGTGGGAGGATGTATGTGGCTTAAGACATACCCAAAGGACTTTGGAGCATTAGCTCAGAGAACTGATGCAACAAGATACTGTACCTGGTTTGTACATCTCGATCATTACATCACTGATACAACAAGATACCTGGTTTGTACATCTCGATCATTACATCAGACTTCCACTCCTTTCAGCTCATTACCCCAAACTCAATGAAAAGTGGGCGGGTTTATTTTTTGGTATGAATTTACCCAAAGTGCTAATTCCTTCTCAAACAGGGTGGGCAGAGTGAGTTGATTTTTTTAAAAAAAGGAAATCAAGACATCAGAAAAAGCCAAACTGTCCTGTTTGTTCATCCAGATCCAAGGCTTTAAAGATGGCTCGTTAAAAAAAAAAATCTGGATGCGATTCTCGGGGTACTCAATGAGGTTGGTGTTGAATTAGGGTTTTCTGCTCAAGATCAAGGGCGATCATGATCTATCAGCCCTTCTTCTGCCAACTAATGGCCATTATCATGTGCTGTGAAGTCAATTCTGACTTATGGCGACCCATTTCCAGGCTTTTCTACGTAGAGAATACTCAGAAGTAGTTTACTGTTTCCTTTTTCTGGGGGTGCCCTGGGACTGTGCAGCTAGCCTTTTCTCTCTGGAGGCACAGGGAGGAATTCCCAACCTCTCACTCTGCGGCCAGATCCCTACATCGCTCAGCTGTCCAGCCAGCCATGGAAATATCTGCCAGCTTCACTTTATTTCATATTCACTGTCTCCGGTAACTGCAGAAGAGTCATCTCCGTCTCCTTCACTGCTACTCTAGAATCTGGTCCAGAGAACTGTGAGACTCTCCCGAGCCAAAATTGCTTTTGGGATAGGAGAAGAGGTAGAGGAGAAGGGCCCTCCTCATCCTCCACCAGTTCTACGTAAGCTCTTGGCCAACAAAGACAAGCATTTCTACTAGGGAAATGTCAATCACGTCAACCTTGCCTCTTGTGCATTGACTATAACAAGCCTTTTAGGTAGAAGCAATGAAGTGAGAAACCCAATCCAGAAGAACAAATATAATTATATCAAAATAAATTTTTTTTACAGCTAAGCATTCAAGTTCCTTCCTGTCGATACTATTTTTGCTTTCTCCCACATTCAGCATTTAAAGAGCCCCATCGACATTATGAAGAACCATGCACATTTTAGAAAGTTTAAAAGCAATCCGAATAGACATGTCACCCTTCTTAGAAAAAAGGCCCATGCATCCGTTCGTAGAGATCCTATATCACAACTGCTGTCAAGCATTGGTGCCACCCTGAGTAAATGAGAGATTTACTCAGCCTGCTCACAAGGGATCCTGAACCACTCCTCCTCCTTCTCCAGCTGCTTTGGCTACGACAAGAACATCATCAAGTCAGCTAAAAGAGACTTACCCGACTGGTCGCCGAGAAGGTACTTGAAGAAATTAGCTGGCTCCAGGAATGGCAGAAGCTTTTTATACAGTGGCCAAGTTCCGCCCACCCCCTGGATAAAGGGTGCAAGCCTCGATGACTTCAGTCTTTCACAATGGATCCAAGTCATAACTTTCTTCAGAGCCTCCAGAAGGAAACGCCCTTCTTGAACTCTGGCCCTGTGATGGCTGGTGGGGGGGGGCAATTGCTGCCGATCTTCTCTTTGAAGGACATTTGGGGCTATGTTCTAAAAATAGTAGTCTTAAAACAGAACGATCATGGCCGATAGCCTATGTCTAGTCTCAATTAGGGAGACAGACCGCTTGGATTAGTTACTGAATAGGAAGTCAACTTTTATGTCAATCTCATTGTGTCAATGGTTCTGTTCAAGTTGGGATTTGGGATATAAATCCGATCTATCTGTTTTACTGATGTCACCTCGCTTTGCACCATGATCCTAAAAGCAATTAGGAGTGGACTGCCATTTCACTAAGCCTTCCTTCCTTCCTTCCTTCCTTCTTGCTTTGCACCATGATCCTAAAATCAATTAGGAGTGGACTGCCATTTCACCAAGCCTTCCTCCCTTCCTTCTGTCATCAGCTCCTTCCTTCCTTCCTTCCT